TTGATTTGATTTGATTTGATTTTATTTTATTTTATTTTATTTTATTTTAAATTAATTTTATATTTTCATACAATTCTGAGCTCTCTCCCCACTCTTCTCTTCGCTCTTATATCTCTGTCTCCCTTGATTCAATAATAGCATTAGCATAACGTTTATAGCATACATTCAGGCGTTTAAGCTTTTATTCGCAAAGCTGCTGANTTTTATTTTATTTTATTTTATTTTATTTTATTTTATTTTATTTTAAATTAATTTTATATTTCCATACAATTCTGAGCTCTCTCCCCACTCTTCTCTTCGCTCTTATATCTCTGTCTCCCTTGATTCAATAATAGCATTAGCATAACATTTATAGCATACATTCAGGCGTTTAAGCTTTTATTCGCAAAGCTGCTGGGAGAAATTGGCTAAAGAAAACTTAATGACTACTTGTACTACAGCTAAACAACACTTAAACACTGCTTCTTCTTATTATAACTACTCCTATTCTTTAAACTATTCGTACCACCGTTTCACTCAGTTAACATAATCTCATACTAGTATTCATATCCATACCTACTATATGCTATGTATCTCTTTTAGCACTATTTTGTTTTTCTATTCGTCTTTTTCCTCAAAATGATGATAGTGATGGTGTATGTGTTCATGCACATAANGGAGAAATTGGCTAAAGAAAACTTAATGACTACTTGTACTACAGCTAAACAACACTTAAACACTGCTTCTTCTTATTATAACTACTCCTATTCTTTAAACTATTCGTACCACCGGTTCACTCAATTAACATAATCTCATACTAGTATTCATATCCATACCTACTATATGCTATGTATCTCCTTTAGCACTATTTTGTTTTTCTATTCGTCTTTTTCCTCAAAATGATGATAGTGATGGTGTATGTGTTCATGCACATATCGGTGTATTAACGATGAAGCACCGCCGCTGCTCCCACTACCGCCACCGGTTGCTTCCATCACAGCGCCCTCTTGCTCCTCTTCCTCCAATTCGCCTTCCACCTCATCTACCTCAGCTGCATCACTTACACGTAGTGACACCGCTTGCGCGTCAGCCCCAACGGCTACCAACTCGGAGTCATCACTCAAATCCACCAGTTTGGCAGTAGCCACATTGCGCTCGCTTTCTTTACTCGTTTCGTCAGCACCACCTGTTGTGACTGTACTCGAATTCGCCGTTGCTTTTTCCTTCACCTGCGTAGCGTCTGCGTTGCACGCTGCGAATAACTTCGCTACCGCAGCTGGCGCTTCACTTAACGCCTCATCGTCTGTTGTGGTCGGCGCAATGAGATTCTCGCATTCGGTCGGATCACCGTTTATCGGTATGAGCGCAGCATAATTGCCTATGCTACCATTAGAGCTGCTTGAGTGTATGCCGACGGCAGTCTTCTGTGCTGTTGCCACATTTCCCACGAGCGCGGCAGGCAGCACGCGCGTCTTATGCGCCGACTTATGTTTGCGACGTTGCGCATTTTCACGTTGACTGTGGTGTTGTTGCTGCTGTTGTGGTTGTGGTTGTTGCTTATTCAATATGCTATCTTGCAGTTTTTCACTCAATTTGGCATACAAAGAGTTATCCGCGTTCTTCACCACGTTGGGTTCCTTGCGCTGCTGATGCTTGCCGCCACTATTCTTCAGCCACCTTTCGATGTGGTCACCGGTTGGCGAGCGCTCCAATTGTGCGCCTGCGCTGGTGGTGATATTCAAAGCGGCCAGCTTGTTGGCGCACTGCTGGTGTAGCTGCTGTTGGCTATGGTGGTGATGGTGGCCATAATGCGCGCTCGCAGAGGAGAGCCGCTGATAGCCATGGTATTGTGGTGAGTTGTGCGCCGTGACGCTTTGTTGCGCCTGCTGTTGGGAGTAAGAACCGCTGCGCAAAATTTTGCTAGTCTTAATCTGATGTGTCGTGGAGTTGAGGAAGACCTTTGCAGGTGTGACGTTGCTGCTAGGAACTGCTGTCATTATGGGTTGTACCGTTGCGATTAGTTGTTGTTGTAGTTGTTGTGTGGGCTGTTGATTATTGTAGTTGACAATTTGTGGCACAAGTGTAGTTGCATTCGCCGCCACTGCTGTTGAAGGTGGTGGCGAGTGAGTTGTGCCGCCACCGCAAATTGTCGCGTGTAAAAAAGAATCGTAGCCGCACAAATTCATTTTGTTATGCTGTCCCTGATGCATGCCACTTTGGGCCGCAAGTATGGCGGGATTAATGGCCAGTTGTTGGTGGTAGATGGGTATATGTGGCTGAGGATGATATTGATTGGTGTTGTTGCTGGTGCTGATGTCGTGCAAATTTAATTCGCTGCTGTTGTTGTTCGTATGATTGCTGCTGTGACTGTGACTGCTGCTGTTGCTGTGGCTGTGGCTGTGGTTGTTGCTGTTGTTGTGGCTGTGGCTGTGATGATGATGATGGTGATGGCTGTTGTTGTTGGCACTGCTGGTATTGTGCGCATTGTTGTTGTTGTTGCTGCTGCTGTTGGGCATAATACAACTGCTGTTGTGGCTGATAATGGCATTGCTGTGGTTCGCAATTAAGGTCGGTATTTTCGACACTGTATTTGAGCGCTGACGTTGTTGTTGCTGCTGCTGCTGCAGCTGACTGTGAGGCTGTAGATGTTGATATTGTGGTTGCCTTATGGGACTCACATTTGCTTGAGGTTTTCTGAAAGTGCCAATAAAAGCAGAACAAAAATGAGTTATGTTGCACGTAAGTAGGTAAGGTATGTATGTATGCATTTTGTGTTAGCGTGGAATGGGTTAAGAACGGGTAATTAATGCCTGCACAAGTTCAGATGGCACGTGCACTTGCTATGATTTAAGTTAGGTTGATTACAGCCAAGAGAGGATGCCTTCGAAACTTCAAAAGCGAAATTCTTCGGCGAACCACTTAGTTGCTCGTAAATCTTGCTGAAGATAAACTATAAAAGTATTTACAGGTAGCCGTCTTGAATCTCAAGTAAATATTTGCCGCTGGATTTAATGACATTTTTATACGCAAAATGGATATGTGC